CCCTCACCGTTGCCGTGCAGAGGAGGGGGAGGGGAGTGCTGACTCACCCGCGGTGTCACTGCTGGTGGGGGGGGGTTTCTCCTTGCACAACATGTCACAATATCATGAGATTTATTAATTGTTAGCTCATATTCAGCTAAGCTTCAATTCATTCACAATAATTTAGGTCGTTTTTACAATTAATGTCTTTTCCATGTTAGTATAGAATCTGTAGAGTAAGTCTTTGGTGAGTAATTTAATTTCTGGGAATACACAAATCTCCTTGTATCTTATTTATAAACATCACCAGTTGGGAATGTGAATTAGGATGATGTAAATATGTTGCATTTTAGTAGCAGATGCTATGGACAGGAAAATAATAACTTAGTTTTCAGTAAAATATATCATCTATTGGAAGCATTAATTTTCTTGTACAAAATATAATAGTGAAATTAACAGTAATAACTGTACCTGTATTATATCTTTCAGCTTTTCTGATAAACAACTCATGGCCTTGTTCTATGTAAATGTGTTGATCTTGGATACTTATTGCCCTATTGTACTCCATTCAGCTTTAATTGGTGTTAGTTTTTCCTTATTTATTTAACTTATCTTTCCTTTCTCTCTCTGTATATAGTCGTTGATTTATTAGTTTATTTTGTACCCTTAATATGCCATCTATTCTGTGTATGCATAATGTTATTCATAAGCTTTTCTTTCTTTGCTTAGTATGCTTTGTGTATGTAGATATTTAATATTACTTTGTATCAACAGTAAACAATATTGAACTGTGCTGTATAGATGCTGAAGATACACATGCACATAGTATATCATACAGCATTTAACACCATTGCTTTAATAATGCAATCCATTTAGAAAATGTTATTTTACTTACATACTACATATGACTTTCAGCTTGTATGTTAGATGAATACAGCATGTTATTTATGAACACTTAATGAGGTACATAGAAAGTAATTTGTAATATATGGTTAACCAGCTTATTACTAGAATTTTTTCAAGTGTTTATAGTATCATACTCATAATTCCCACTACACATGTGAAATGTATGCTTTCTCCTCCCACCCTTTTCTCGAAATGGTACTTTGCTGAAGAGGAAGTGAAATATTGTCCCTATAAACAGCACAGTTCAGTGTTGAAATGTTAATAATCTTTCTGATTACTTTAGTTTCTTTGTGATAACAATGCTATGTTTCTGTTCTGTATAGATGCTGAATTGGGCGGCATATTTAATGTGGATTTTAATTCCATTTTTGGCCTGGGTGAGGCACCACTGAGTACTCATAACAACGTAATGTACCACCCTGTCTCTGGTTCTAGAGGTATCAGCAAGCTTTACAGTTTAACCATGCTTGCAGTTCTAGCATCTTTTCCTTCCAAATTATAGACCAAACCTGTATTTTAGTACAATTATTGTGTTTTTTGACATTATACACTGTCCTGTTGTTTCAGAGACTGGATTCTGTCTCAGCCCTTAGGTAAAAAACCTGTCTCTGGTCCATCTGGAGATAGGGATTGGCTCTATTTTTTGGGCTCAACTGAGTAGGGTTTTTACCTGAGAGCTGAGACAGAATCCAGTCTCTGAAACTTTGCTCTAAATAAAACAAGAGGTTGATGGATAATGTGCAAAAACAGAGTAATTATATTAATATACTATTGTTACAAACTTTTAGCTCTGATCTGGATTTTACTTCATGCCATGTAAAAAAATCTGTGGAACATGTTTGTTTCAGTTTTATTACAGCGTTCTGTATATAATGCCTCCTATTTTTTTAAAGAAAACTACAACAGATACAGAAAGCATAATAATGCAATTAAATAGAGCAAGATTTCAGCTACTTACAGTTATTTTTCCACATAATCACCACCATTTGTTATGCACTTTTACCAGCGATTAACAAGAGCCTGTATGCCACGCCCGTAAAAGTCTGCGCCAGCAGAGGCTAGCCACTTTCTTACAGCTGCAATGACAGCATCATTGTCTGGAAAGTGTTGCCCACGTAGTCCATCTTTCTTAGGCCCAAAGAGATGGAAGTCTGAAGGTGCTAAACCGGGGCTATAAGGTGGATGTGGTAGGACAGTCCAGCCAAACTTTGCAATGTGCACGGTGGTCACCAAATTTGTATGGGGTATAGCGTTATCGTGTTGCAAGCAAAAGGTTGTCTGCTTCTTTGGCCTGACTTGGGAAATGCGGGCTTTCAGCTTAGTCAGCGTTGTTTTGTAGCATTCAGAATTGACAGTCCCTGGTCGTTATCTGCTGATCTGTATGGATGAGGCGCTGTTCATCATGAGGAGTGGCAGCTGAGCAGGGACACCCAGGGCGTGGCTTGTCGTGCACTTCACTTTCACCACTGTTGAAACGCACTACCCACCGCCTCACTGTGCTGACTTCCACTGTAATGTCTCCGTACACCTTTAGCAAGTGTCGATGGATGTCAGTGGGTACAATTTGTTCAGCAGTGAGTAATGCAATAACACATCTGTGTTTCATACGCACTTCTATGTCAGACACCATTTTGGTAGACTGCTCTGATGTCGCTATCTGTCGCACGACAACTAAACTAACAGTAGATTGGCAGGAAGGTTCAACCTTTACTACAACGCCACCAACATCCATGCCAGACGTTACATATTAACACAAAAAAATAGGAGGCATTATTTACGGAATGCAACTGAAAGCATATGAGAGCTATAGCATTCATCCAAGTGTCTGATCTATTACAAACATTTAATTTATATTTTATATCTGAGAGACCGCCTCTGTGGTCTAGTGGTCAGCGTTCCTGGCTACAGATCCAGAGGTCCGGGTTCGATTCCCAGCGCTACCAGATTTTTTCTGAGAATTAGTGGGCCTGGAACAGGGTCCACTCAGCCTTGTGAGGATAATTGAGGTGCTATGTCAAGAGAATAGCAGCTCTGGTCTAGAAAACCGAAATTAACGACCATGGGGATTCGTTGCGCTGACCACGTGACACCCACTATCTGCAAAATTTGGCACTAAACTTTGCTGATAAGCGGAGGTCGCTTGGTTGGTATAGTTTGCTTGCAGACTAAAATCACAGAGTTTTTTTTTTTATATCTGAGAAAGGATACAAGGATATGGGAAATGCTGAGACAGTCATGTACTGATATTCAATTAAGGGAGAGGGGATCAGAACCTCGTTTGAAATTAAAAAGAAAACAAATTAAAATATCAGAAATTCATTTTCAGTAAAACTGGCCAGCAAAGGCTTTTGTATACGTATAACATTTTTTTTTCTCTGCGTGCTTCTTGCTGTCATGTTTGACTGAAAGGTGTTGAGTTTTATTAATGTCAATGGAATGAAGATTCTGTAAGACAAAAACGTTGTCACATTTTATTACTACGAAGTAGTCGCATTCAGAAATATAATTTTCGGGGCAAGCTCATGTCTTATTTTATTTGCCATTTATTTTGAAAATGGTTGAAATGATATGCTTTGTAGCTTTTAAATGTGTTTTGTTAGACTCAGTCTTTACATGAGGATTTGATTAGAATTGGCTAGAAGTTATTTTCATAGAAATATTACTTAGTTGCCAAAATAGGTGATGTTTTATCACTGTTGAACTTCCACTTGATATCTGATGGTTGTATTCCATGCCAGAAGTCTTTAATATGAACCGGATACAGCAGTTTGCTTAAACAGATATGAATTTTCATGTACTTAATTTCCCTTATTATTGAACTCATTTGTTTATCATCCCCTGATGTCTTAAAGGAAAAAATGAATTACATGTACTGTAGAAATATGATATGTATATGTCTGTGCTTGTGTGTGTGTGTGTGTGTGTGTGTGTGTGTGTGTGCACTTGCATTTGTGCAGAATATGATTTTTACTATTAGACTGGTTCATGCAGTTTAGTGGACATTTGTCTCGCATAGACTTGCCACAGAAGCTGATAATTCATGTCGGAAAAGTCCAGAGAGTACATAATTGTGTTTAATTCATGGCTTGTTTTTTGGTTGAACTTTAACCTTCAGTATTGCATAGAAGAGTCTCAAGGTGGTGATCCTCTGCTTCTAAGCATCCCTGACAACATAAGAATATGTTTCTAGACATATGTCAAAGCTGCTGTATGGGAATAGCGAAAATTTTATGCCTCATATTGTCTTGAGATTCTTCCTAAGAATGTGGGTTGTTCACATAAATTTTTTGTTCAGCATGCCCCACAAATATAAGTCACAAGGATTTAAATCATGTGACTGTGAAGGCCATAATCCTTGATTTGTGATTTATTTGCTGAAGACTTCATGAAATACTGTTATGGAATTGTTCACAGCGTGTGCTGTTACATTATCTTGCAGAAAATATGTATGATTTTTCTTCGTCTGTCAGTTGGTTGAAGAAAGGTATTAGAATCAATTTCACATAATGTTCTGAATTTATTGTTTCATTAAAAACATAGTGCCTATGATCATCTTTGCATATTGCTCTCCAAACCCAAATTTTAAATCATGATGTGGCAATTCATGAACAGCATGAAGATTTTGTGTGCTCCAATATCATTTATTAGCCTGTTTATATAACCATTAAAAGTGAACCATGTCTCATAAGAATATGATGGAAATTCTAGGTCAGGAAGTCCTTTTGGTATCAATTCCTGAAAACATCTACAGTATAAAGTTCTTGCTTTGCAGACTGGAGGCAAATGACTATGTATGACTAGGTTTGTAAGACTGTAACTTTAACAGATTTTTACCAGAGTGAGTTGTACTTTTTGCCATCCAACTTGAAGAGCCAAAAGACATAGCTACCTCTTTGGGTTTGTTTCTAACCAATATTAATCATATACAATATGATTAATTTAAAAAGTTCTTTTAGAATATTAATTGTATTTTATATATTTTATATTTGAGTGCTTTGTAAGTACAGTGGAACCTCGCTTAACAAGCATAATTTGTTCCAGAATCTTACTTGTAATGCGAAACACTCATTAAGCGAAACAATTTTCCCCATATAAATTAATGTAAAATACAATAATGCGTTCCATGCTGAAAAAATACTCAAAAAACTTTGTGTATAATGTTTATTCAAAGAAAATTATATATACATTGTTAAGGAGCATGAATCTTCTTCATCTTTTCTTCTATGCGGAATGAACCAACCTGGAATGTGAATTCGATTTGCAGAAAACAAAAAAAAATCGAAATAATTATTTTATTATTTATGATACATATCTAATTCTTTTTTACTAGAAAGCTGTCTAGAGACATTTGTTTTTGCCGACGCTTCAAGATTTGGTGAAAATGCNAATCTCGTTGACTACAGGCTCCACAGGTACTATCTCAAACCCCTCAAAGTCACATTTGACAACACTCTCCGGCCAAAGCTTCTTCCAAGCAGAAGTGAGGGTTCTCTTGGTAACCCCTTCCCACACCTTTTCGATCATCTTGAGGCAGGCAACGATGTGGCAGTGATATTTCCAAAACTCCCTGAGAGTGAGATTGGTTCCTTCAGTCACCTCAAAACAACGCTCGAAGAGTGCTTTAGTGTACAGCTTCTTAAAGTTATAAATAACCTGCTGGTCCGTAGTAACGGCTGGAGTAACGGAGTGGTGTTGGGAGGCAGAAACTGGATCTTGATGAATTTAAATTCTTCAAGGAGGTCATCTTGTAGGTCTGGAGAATGGGCAGGAGCGTTGTCCATAACAAGCAAGACATGGAGTGGCAGATTCATCTCAAGCAAATATTTTTTCATAGAAGGACCAAACACTTCATTGATCCAATCAGTAAAAAAGTCAAGTGTCACCCAAGCCTTGTTGTTGGACCTCCACATCACATTTAGCCTGCTCTTGTACACTTTACACTTCTTGAAGGCTCATGGAGTTTCTGAATGGTAAACAAGCAGCGGATTAATTCAAATCACTGCTTGCATTGGCACAAAATAGCAGCATGAAACGGTTCTTCATTGGCTTATGGCCAGGCAGTGCATTATCCTCTGCTGTTATATAGGTTCGCTTTGGCATCTTTTTCCAGAAGAGACCCGTCTCGTCACAGTTAAAAACCTGTTGCAGCAGGTAACCTCAGAATCTACGAGCTTCTTGAAGATACGACATAGGAAGCTGTTACCAGACAACCGGTGAAGACACTGCAGACTGAGAGGACTCCATGCAGTAGTGAATTATTAATTTATGCATTAGCGATAGTGTTAGAGTGACTTGTAGTTACAGTCTGTAAGGGTTCAATTAATCCAGTTACCAATCCGAATCCCGTCCTTAGTCACTTATCATAGTACACTATATTCAATTCAAATTAATATGATATTCTCTTACTATATGTAATTCATTAGTTTCTTTTTGATGATGAACAAACAAGTTTAAAATATGTTGGACAGTTAGGTATATGATCATTTATTAATGATAATTATGTTTGATGAATGGTAAAGGAGGCGTTTGTTTTCAGTGTGTCTGGTACTACTTTGTTTACAGTTAATCAGAAATGGGGAAAGGTTTCATGTTTTGACCTCTATGCTGACAGATGTTCATGCTTTGAGATTAATACATTTTAAAAACCCATATCATAATCATATGATAATTCTGGTACTAAACAGCAGCAATTTGTCTTCATTTTGTTGGTTTTACATATTTATTTAACAATTTTAAGGTTTTACAGTATACTGAAACAGTTGTCATGGAATACTTGCCAACACATCTGTCAAATTAAATTGCCTTATTAAATGAGTCAGAATGTATTTCAAAGTAATTCAATGGGAAATTACCTGCCAGAGAAGTGTGAGGTGGCTTAACTTGTACAGTACCTGTCTTGTAGTGGGTGATATGCTTAATTTCCTGCTTGAACTATGTTTTAAACTGAACTAAAACATAGAGATATTGGGTTTTCGGACTTTATCCATTGTCCTGGTTTTAAGATAAGTAAGAAAAACACGACGTTTCGGAAACTGGATCTGTTTCCATCCTCAGGTGAGGAAAAACACGTATTCTGTTGGGTCCCTTAGAAAGAGCTAGCCTCAATCACTGGACCAGTTTCTGAAACGTCGTGTTTTTCTTAGTTATCTTAAAACCAGGACAATGGATAAAGTCCGAAAACCCAATATCTCTATGTGTTATTCACCATCGTCAGAATCCTATAGTAACTACTTGAACTAAAATAATATTTCAAGTATTATGTTTCCTAACTGTAAATAAATGTATCCTAATTATGGGAATTTCCTTCTAATGTACCTACTTTTAGTCTGGTTGTGGAAGAAATAATGCAGACCTAATGCTTTTAACCCTTTATAAAAATGTAAATATTGTATATAAAAACTGTTATTTCCAGACAACAGCCATCTGGTGCAAGGCTATCAACCATCTCAACAGCAGTACAGTTACTTTACTGACAAAGGTATCAAATTGAGCATAATAATAATAATAGTTTCCTGCATGGAGTGATAATCTTTAGTACTTTTGTTAGTTATTTCCCCTTTGTTTTAGGCTTTCAGCATTTTGAATGTTAACTTCTTGTGTATCTGACTGATTCATATAGGTTCTGTTTACTCATATACTGATGTAGCTAAGACAGTATAGTGACTAGGTCATAGACTGGGCAACCAAAGAATCAGGGTTCAATTCCCAGCAAGGTGTAAGGAAACCTTCTCTTCTCCACAATATCCAAATGGGCTCTGGGGTGCATCCAGTCTCTGTTCCATGAGCACCAGGAGCTCTTTCCTAGGGTTAAAGCAGCTGAGGCATGAGGCTGGTTATTCAGCTCTGTGTTGCCTAGGTCAAAAGTGCATGGAGCTATTCCTGCACTCCCCCATGTCCTAATGACATGGTGCATAATTAAGTACAGGTACAATTCTACCTTTACCACACACTGGTATTTTCTTCTGTATGTTATATTTTGACAAGATCTTAATGAGAATCCTAGCATTGCATGCACAAGAATACTTTGTTATTTTAAAATTGTCTTGTTTTTGCAGTGGATATGCCATTTATTTTGAAACAGTTGCTTGACAGAAATAAAAAAAGCACCTAATTATTTTATCTCAAATCTTAAAATAGATGGTAGTATATAATCTTTCTTTCTTCACAAAGCTACCATTCACCAGTCAACATTATTTTTTGCAGGCAATTATATTATTGTTGGATTTGAGGTTGTCACAGAGATGACTACAGGGAGTTCTGTCTTCTTGGATATAATGCTGTTAAGTTTTGCAGTGTTTCAGAGATTATATCATTTCCATCTTCAGGGTCAAAGAGTAAGCAAAGCAAGAAATCAGCATGAAGCAAATGGCATGCTGAATGCTGGTTTCTTGCTTGGCTAACTCTTCAACCCCAAAGTTGGAGGGAGGTGATATATTCTTCCAAAATGCTGATTGACTTTCACCTGACTACAAGGCACTGTATCCCAGAAGACAGATCTTCCATTGTATTATTGTTACAGACATTTGTATTAACAGTATTTATTCACTTGTATTCATTCTTCAGTGAATATTTAGGAATATTAAAGGCACTAAAGAATTATGCTATGACTTAAAGTGGTTACACAACATAGGAAGTAGATGCTATAGGTAACACCATTTTGAATAGTGTTCTAAAGAAACAGGCAGGAAATATGTTGTTCTAATAATGGCCAGAATATTTTATCATTACCTCAAATCTTCAAAATTTTCATATATAAATTTTTTTCCTGTAATAGAATAATATTTTGTCTTTTTGTTTTCATTCCACACATCCATCGTAGTCCAGGGTTTGAAAATTTCTGTTTCAAACTGGCACTTAAAATGAAACTATCAGAGTGTGCATATTTTGAATATATTAAATAGCTATAGTGAGACTTTATTAACATGTTCTCTTGAAGTGATATGCGCCAAATTTTACTTACATATCTATGGTTCTTTTATGGGTATAGAGGTGAGAGCTTAATTAAATATTTTGGCTGTGTGGATGCTGTATGTGGTTTTTGTGACTGAAGTTTCTGCTTGCCGTTGATTGAGCTGGAATGAGATGAGTGTACTTCATGCAGTATATTGCATTATGAGCTGGCAGGAAACAGTGTGCAAAATATTTTCAGTTAAACTAACTGAATGACTACACTGCTAATAATGACAACACAAGTAGCCAGTTTATCTGATTTTTCAGATGACTTGTAGCAAATCATTTTGGCATACATCATTGGCAGTCAGCTCCATTTTCATTTTTCTCTTTTCCTCAGTGAAAATCGTTGAGTCTACATTATCCCCCATTATTACTGATGTGTGGTAACCATATATAATGGAGAACACATCCTAGAACTAAAACGAGAAATGAAATTGTGATTGTATTATGCTGCATCATGTTAATTTGTCTCTTCACTGACATTGGTGTATTTGTTTTTATTCATGTTGATTCTGGTCCTCTTTTTGTTGTTGCATTTGTTGCATTTTTGATGTGGCTGGTGGTTGCTGTCAGTTGGCTCATCGTTGAGGGAACAGCCAGGGCCAGGCCCCACAACTGTGGGACAACTGTCCCCACATTTCCCCTCTCATAGAGCCCCTTATGGTGGAATGAGGGCTATTAGTCCCCTACCAAAGTGGGCACGAGGTATTCTTTCAGATTTTGTCATGACTTCATTAGAATTTATTGACAAGAAGAAAATGTTATTAAATGGAATTAGATGGGAAAATATGTTCAGTATAAAAGGTCTTATTTCTTACTTTGAAAAATGTAGTTCTATCAGCGTTACTCATGGCAATCCAACAAGATAAGTTTGTTGGTTTTAATATGGCTCTGTTTTCTTACAAAGCAGAAATCTGTTATGCTTTAACCTTCAAAGTAATACAGAGGCATTAAAATTTTAGCATACAATCTTACTGTCAGTTTAGGAAATAATTAATTCTTTGAAATATTTGCAGTCTACATAAATAGCAAAAATTTGTTAGTGATGTTGGAAAAAGAGGTATGAGGTTTATAAAACATTATGGCATTGTGCATACATTAAGTTATAATAACAGTAGCCATGTGAAGATAAATGTTTGGTGTGATAAATATAGCATAACAAGTGTTATGTGGTACTGTTAATTCTTTTCATAGGCGAAAATGCTGACCTCTTATATCAGGAATTGACATCAGATGACGATCATGCAGATAGAGGTAATTTATGAGACTACAGTATGAGGTTAGGGTAGGTTTGCATTGCATCTTGCACTGTGTGATACTCTTGTGGAGACTTGAAATGTGTGACTGCACTGATTTTTAACACATTTACGACCAAGTATCATGTGGTTATCCACTTTTACTTATATGATTGAGCCTCTGCCAAAGTATGTCCATGAAAGGTTTGTATTAGGCATACATTAATCTCAAATTTTTCAGACAGAATTGAGAAAAGCAACACCTAAATCTCAATTTTAATGCTGATCATTCAGTTTCATATTTTGGGAACTTTCAGGTAACTGATTTTGCATCATGCAGTTGCATGCAAACTACCAGCTTCAGCTGAATTGTAACTGTTGACATCGCCACCATGACACAACTTATCAAAAGAATCTGTCTCTCTTTCTCTCCCCCCACCATTTTATGACAATAGCAAAAAAAGGATATAACACTAGAATTGAACTATCTTAAACATGATGATTAAGAAAACTGACCTGATGTAAAAAGGAATAAGTAGTACACTTTTGTGAAATAAGGACGAGTACTACAAATTGTGATCAGAGTAAGAAATTGATCTGGTTGAGAAAAATCTCATTTTGACCTTAATTCTTGGAATTTTCTTAAATTCTCATCTTCAGTTGAGTAAGTCATTCTTGCATGTGCCTAATATATATTGTGCTACAACAAAAGCTCTGTGTGACCTTAGTGAAGTTACAAAATGAAAGGGCAAGTCAGGGCATGAAATAATCTCTCTTGGTCATCTAGGGTTTAGTTCAGATTTTGTTTGCAGGTTGAAAATGTGTGCTTAGATATAACATTTTCTATACAGTTTTTTAAATTTGTTTGCCACCTTTTAAACCAAGCAGATAAAAGACTAATTTGAACACAGTTGAGGTGTAGAGCACAAAGTTTCTTTAAAATTGCTGATGTCACATTTGGTCTTGAATGTGTTAATTGTGGGATACATGTTCTTCATGTTGTATGGTTTAATAGCTTTGATTGCATCTTGCTGAAGTATATGTGTGTTCTGTTATGTGAGAGTAGGAAGGATGTATGCACCAATTTCAACATTATTAGATATGTCACATGGTCCTCCACACCACCCTTCTAGGATCACTTACAGTAACACTGTGTATGATTGTTCTAGAGATATGTCACTGTATATTTGTTGAAACGAATAGTGGTACATGTAGAAATGGTGAAATGTGCAGATACAATCTTGAAAATTTCTATCTTCTGAGATATAACTCCCTGTAATCTGGCCGTCAACGAGCATTTTGGAGGAACATAAGGGCTCTGAAATTTTGGTAGCCTTTCACTACAAGGTGCTATATCCCACAAGATAGAGCTCTTCATTGTCACCACTGTAAGAATTTCAAATCCAACAGGTATAGTTTTTATTGGTTTGAATGATTATGACTATAGAGGTATGAGAAATATTTCTGTTAAGAAAATTTGACAATACGTTTAATATTCCAGGTAACATTGTGGATAAATGCAATAACATATTCCTGGATGTTCAGCCCTGTCAATAGGGAATGAATTTGAAAAGTTTCAGAGATTGTCTCTGATGATGGGGATATAGACAAGCTTCAGAACAGAAATTCGTATCATATTGACACCACATATTGCCCAACAACAATTCATTTCATTCAGTCACAGTGAATCTCTGAGATCTTGTTGTGTGGGTAATTACAATAGCAGAAATATTGCGCAGCACCACCGTTCGGCATTAGTATTATTTATATGACTCCAGTTTTATGTTGCAATATTTTAGTGTCTTTCAAACCTACTTACATTTGTTGACTTCATTATTTTCCATATGTTAAGCAAGCACTTAATTTCACAGTAGTTTTGTTGGGTATAGGAATGTTTTCCTAGTGGGTTCTTGTGAAACGGTGAGCACTTTTCATTATTTTCAATGTGTTAGGCCAAATTTGTCAAATGTCCGAGAAGTGTACAGTCAGGGTCAAATAATTGTCAAAATTGTCTTGTACAGTGACTGAAACAACAGAGGGTGTAGTAGCCTTACAGAATTAGTTTCTAATGATACAGAATTACCTATAATGATATGTATAACAACTAAATATAATGTTTTAGATTCACAAAACAATCCATGGCCATGTGGGTGGCAACCGTTTCCTCTTCCCTTTCCAGTTCATTGAGGAATGGAACTGCAAATCTTTATGTTTCACACTCTTAGTGCTGCATACTTGTTACATGGTCTAAATCCAGTGAGAAATCTTTCTCTTGTGTGAGGCAACATAC